TTTTGAAGAAGAAAAAACTTATTTCCACGGAATGAATGCAAGACGAAAATGAGATTTGGATACAATTTGTTTTGAATAAATACAGAATTTGGAAAACAAAATATGAATCTAATTAAGTGATATCAAGTTCTTTTTGTGAGTGTTTATTTTTGGCTCGTTGTGAAGCATCAAATTTTATTCAAAAAATACTTCATTTGGAAAACATTTCGCGCGAAATTTTTCCGCTTGCGATTTTGTTTCATGCGGGTAAATTTCCATATTTTTCGTTGCGAGTTTATATCATGCGATTCTGTTTCCTACGGTTTAATTACCCGCGGATCTATTTCTTGCGGACAAATTTCGTGCGAATTAAACTGAAAATATTGCGAAACTATTTTTTGCGGACTAAATTCGCGATAAAATTTCAGCGAAAATTACTGGCGGAAATATTTCTCGCGGAATTCTTAATAGGCGCCCTCTTAGCTACCATCGTCGTCATCGTTAATGGTGGTGGTGTGAAAATGCAGCTGTTCGCAACAACGCAATTCACTGCACTCAGACAAAAGCCTTCAATTATGACTAATTAACTTAATATTTTCAGTACGATCCAAGTTTGGGCCATGGGATGAAGTTTATATATTCAACAATAAAAAAAATACTTCCAATCCAGTCGCTGCCACTGTTGTTCGCCATGCATCTTGATGATATGTGGATGTCATCATATTCGGTACTGGTGTATTGACGACTGCGACCAGCAGGAGCAGCAATTGAAGCGGAAAAAATAGCAGCGACTAGGGATTGGAGGAACAAAAAAAATCTGATTTGAAAACTTTTGATATGCACGATATGATTCAAATATATATACAGCTTACAGCAATGGCTTAACTAGTGAACAAACAGCCAAACAGTGAAATTCGAAAATAACATTTCGATTTAGTCAACAGAACATTTAGTGTGTGTGTGTGAAAAATGTGGTATGCATCATCTTCCTTCATATTGTTGGCATTTGAGCAGCGGCAGCAGAACGGGAGAGGAGGATAAAGGAATTTGGGACGCGACAATGGGAATTTATTGGCGTCACAATATTATGCAATTCAATTCGATGGCACGATAACAGATGGCAATACCAGAGTGTGTTTCATACGATATACACACGGTCTAACGGAATCGAATCGAATCGCACTCTTTTTCCGTCTCTCTGTACACTCGTCCGTCCCGCTCTCCTTCTCTGCGGCACGACAATGGACGATTTATCAGGGTGAAAAATAACCAATTATTTATAATAGACGTAATAACCCACATGCGATTACATATTTCCATATATTTCGATTGAGTTTCTCCGTTTGGATGTGTGTGTGTGTGTGTGTGCTTTTTTTCTTCACTTTGTTCGATGATGATATTCCGTAGCTGAAAATTGAATGTACTTGTCTTGGGCGTTACAAAAGAGATATGAATACGCGCACACGAGAAATAGATTCATAAAATAAAAATGAGTAAAAATTTCGGTTTTAGGTCGTTACGTTCGTCGTCATCGTGAGAAAGAATGTAAGTGCGACGCACGCAAGCCATTTACCATTTCCGTTCGGTGTTATTTCTTTTCGCTTCGGGTATTCCGAACACCGAAAAGGCGAAAGGAAAATGCAAACGAAAACGAAAGAAAAATGAAAAGCTGAACACACACTCACACTGAAAATTGCATTGTTGTTGTGATTATACGTTTGGACCCTGTTGGTACTCGCTCGGGGACCAATCGATTCCATCATGCATCTTGTGTACGGTTCGGTTTTTGGCCGAACCATATTTTCAGATGGTCTTCGTATTCATTAGGCGTGTGCTAGACGTGATGTATACAAAATGTATGCGATGAGGCGCGACGAGACGAGACAAGGCTAGGCAGCCAAGTGCTGCTCTGATCTGAACAAAACGGTGAACTGCGAGAGAGTGAAAGTGCGCGCGTTCGTTCGCACTTTTCACTTCGACTTTCTATTTGGCACTTGCTTAAGCTCCTCGTCGCGCACATAATTGATATGCTAATGTGTGCAGTACGAAAACGAATCTATCGACAAGAAAGACAGAACAATAGCACGACACATTGAGAGAAAGAAAAAAAGGTGAGTGGATCGCATGAGAGGAGAGAGCAAGGACAATATTTGCCGTTTATTGCCGTTTATTCAATTCGTTGTTACATTCGTGACGAAGACATTGTTTGTTTTAACCACTATTTTTTGTCGTCGTCGTCGTCATCGCCTTTGCTATTGTTGTTGTTGGGCGTTTTGTTTCGCGCATGAGTACCCGTCTATACTTTGCCGATTATGTTCTTCATTTTCGTGTTTCGATTGTTTTCAACAGACACACACATTTGCCGAGCCGAGCGAGAGAGAGTTGTGTTTGCCATTTTCATTTGCAATGTGATGGAATATGTCATTCGTAATTGGGGACGCCATGGTATGGGTCGCATAAAATCAAATGAAAAACATAAATCAAACATCTATAAAAATGCGTAGACAACACTAGCTCCGGAATGAGTTGTAGCGCACTACAATTCACTCCCCAAGTATGTAGCTATGGTGTGTGTGCATGCATGAGGGCTTAATCAGGAGAGAGAAAAAAAAATAGCAAGCGTATGAGGGGTATGCAGCAGCAACAGCAGCAGCTCGGTCTCGTGTTCTTATCGTCCATACTGTTGACTTCTCATTATGTTGACAAACAAAAATTGCACATTGCAGCCAGTGAGCCAGCGAGCCAGCAAGCGAACCGAGCGACCGACCGAAATGAATATGTACTTGTATTTGTGTCAGAATGTATGTGTGTGTGTTTATATATGAAGTCGTAGCCACGTACCTAAATCAAAAAGCTCATGCACTCGAATTGAATGCAAAACAAACTCTTGTGTTTCCATAATGAGAAGGCGAATGAAATGAAAACAATTCGCACGAAGTTAAAAAGAAATCAGTGAAACAAAATTTTCTCAAAGAATAAAGAACAAGCAGTAGATTGTCTAGTTTGTATTCCTTCTTCTTGTTCTTCATCTACTTCGCAGCAACAGCAGCATAAATTGAATAGACAAAGAGGGAGCAAAGCGTTCAATCAACTAGTACATGTAATTTCGATTTAACTTTTGCGCGCCAAAGCGCACCACACACACAGACACACACACACACACACAAACACAAACATACTTCATGACGAGTATAGAGGAGAGAGGGAGAGAAACGGAGAGATGATGATGTTTTCATGTGGAAATGTGCGAATCCATGCTGGATTCATCGCGTGCAATTTCCACCAGCCATACAATGAAATCGTTTTTTTTTCTGGAGCTATATGTAGAGCATGTGTTATATGTGTGTATGTATTATGTTCGTCTCTTGCTCGTTTACTAGCTCGCTCGCTCATTCATTCCGTTCAATCCGCAGCACCGTTTTTCTTATGATGAATATATGACAGACGGCCAAAACTTTCGATTTCAATGCATTTGCCATTAATTCCAATGAAAATGTGTTTAGCCGAGCTACTGGAAAACTGATCTGAAAGTGCTTGAAGTGTTTTTCGGCCACGGATTTATCATGAAAGATACACACTCATCTCGTGTATATGCGCGCCAAGTAGCGAGAGTAGCAGAGAAACATTGACAAAAAAAAAATGAACACACATACATGAAGCAATGAAAAGAAATGAAAAAAAGTACACCGAAAAAAAAACGAAACGCAAAGCGATAAAAGCAAAGTGAAAACTTGCAATGAGACGAACAGCGCGCGAGATACACACACACGAGTATCTTTTCATATACACACAGAAACACTGAGAGAGAGAGAGAGAGAGAGAGAGAGAGAGAGAGAGAGAGAGAGAGAGAGACAAATGTACGATGAAAGCGACGACGGGCAAACAGCTGCGGAAATGAAAAGCGCGCGCGTGCGCCCTTCTACGTAAATGTTGTGTGTCTGTGATGAAATGCGCTCGGGCACATCGTGCACAGGGCATCGAAAAGGGAGGGAAAGCGATAGCAATTGCTTATGAAAATACCTCGCAATTCACAAGCTACAATACGATATATGTTGTTTTTTTTTAGTTTGCTTCTTCCTTTCCGTTCAATTTCGGTGTCTGTGTGTGCATGCTTTTGCTTCTTCTCTCCTCTATCCAATGCATGTTATGTTGGCTCTCAGTGCTGGGCATGCATGTGTCTCTATGGCCTTTTATTGTGACAGTATTGCGTTTACATTCTCGCTTTGTACACCGTAAGCGTGTCTATGATAGAGAGAGACCAAACTGATCGAATGTGAAAACGATAGAAAGAACGAAAGAAAGGAAAAATATATACACACAAACACACACACACCGAGCCGAACCGAACGAAACAACAAGGAAAATCCTGCCGAGATGGAAAAAACTCCATACATAACAATTCAGTGTACACATAACATTCAATACTCTCGCCTCTACTGATGTTCGAATTTTCCGAACACACTGTGTGCGAGCGATACATCGAACAACCAAAATATTCTCCTCAGTGAGTTAAAACTCTCTCGTCCGTGTGTCGTGCGAAACCAGAAACGAAAACGTTGCCCACTAAATCGTGTATTGAAGAATAACTGTTGTGAATTAAATGCAAAAACAAAATAGATTCTGAATATAGCGACGAAGAGACAAAGTCGTTCGACTCGCTCGACGACGACAACGACAAAAATCAAAATGAAAGGGAATTAACTGTGGTGAAGCTGACAAAAAAAAAGAACACACAACCAATAGACCATATGATATGGAAAAAATAACATTAAATATCATAAAATAAACGCTGTAAACGGGAACAGAGCACAGCGAAGAAAAAAAAACGAATTCGTAACGCCACCGCAGGAGAAAAGTTAAAAACGCGAGGAGTTTTGAAATACGTGTATTTGTTTCGTTGTTTTTTTTCTTTCTGGTTCTTGTTGGGATTTTTTTTCACACATCAAAACATCGGCGCTGAAGTGACACACTGAAATCTGAACAAGTGACACACTCAATTTTTTCAAGTCCAACTGTAAGATGAAAAAGTAATATAAATACATACATATAAATCAGCTTATCGTGTATAAATGATACGCGACGAAATAAAAGGAATAAACTGTTTCCTTTTTTTTCTTTAAATCAAATAAAAACAAATGATTTCATGCATAACAAAACGAAACATAAAAATAACTTGAAACCAAAAACATAAAAGGAGCAACAACAACAGCAACAAAACAACATTTTCTATAAACTTCGAATCGAGCTGGAATAAAACAATAAGAGAGAGAGAGAGAAAAATGCGAACAAAACGAAACTGAAGACAATGAAGCAGTTGAGCGACGCTCAATGACCGTTTACTTTTGCCTTTTGTGTGCGTGCGTGTGTTTTTCTGTTTTTTTCCCTACTAAATGTGAATTAAATTGTTCAAACACCAAACTAATTCAACAACAACAATAACACAAACCTCCCAAAAAAAACAATTCTACTCGATGTTCACTCTAGTTGATTATAACTATATTTTTTGTTCGTCTCTTCACACATCTTCTGTGTCATCTACTACTATCACTTAGTATATAAATGTATAATTACTAAGCTCTTCTTCTTCTCTCTTCTCTATGTCTTTTTAAAATATTTGAAACAACAACAACCAAAAAAAGAGGAAGAAATGACATGTGCGTGTGTTTTGTGCTAAATGTTAACCAAAGAAAAATCTCTTAGTGTGTTATAATTTTGTTCGTTGTTGTTAATTTACTGTTACGGCTGTTTTTCTACCAAAATCCAAAGCGAAACGCAGAAGAAGAAGAAGAAAAAAAATAAACGCGCAGAGAAAAATTCTGTTGCATATCTAATTAAATATGCATAATACGATTTTGATGTAACGAAATTGACATAAAAACAACAACAACAACCAAGTCGAAGCAGAAATAAAAGAGAAGAAGTTAAAATTCATTTCCGAAAATAAATTAAGAACAGCGAAGGCAAATAAGAAAGAAGAAAAAAAAATTAGAGGAGGAAAAAAGCGCACGAACCAAGAGAGGAAAACGAATAGAAAGGACGCGCGCGACAGCGAGCGCTTGGAAAATTTGACAAGGGCAGTCAAAAACACACGACCGACCGACCAAACCGAATAGAATATTATCACCATTGTGAAAGATAGGCGAAAAGGGAAAAAGCCCAACCGAAACGCACGGCGCGCAACCAAGAAGAAGAGCCAAGCGTGAGACGAGAGAGCGAACAAAAAACGTAATCTCATTTATATTTTTATTCCGTTCATAAAAGAAACCAGAATGTCGTTAAGTAAATCAGACGCGGACACGATTGCTAAATATATTGAATGACTGCAGTCACATCAATAAACCTCCCTCCACTTTGACCTCCAAAAAAAAAAAAATACCGAGACACAGTCGAATCTAAGCTTTCCAGCCAGTTTATGGCCAGCCAGTGATTCCTGTGAGTGTTGGACGGTTTTGGTTCTTATTTTCTCGTTTTCAGCACACATGGAATATATCGAAGCAGCCCAACGTCGTTGTCATCATCAAACGGGTTGAATTGTCCACTATATAAATATGTATATATGTCCTTAGATCGTTTTTCTGATCCCCCTCTTATCGATGCCCATGTGACTGTGGCCATTTTTTGATAGCGTCAATTGTGTCCATATTGAAGCCCCATCCGTCCCAAAAAGTACTCTCCCCTTCTCCTAGAATTGACGATTAATAAGAAAATCCCAAAATATTGTAGTTTCAAGCGAAAATTCATTGTTTATAGTCATCGATGGGTCTTGATCAAAATAAAAAACTCGAAGCAATTACCATAAGGCTATTTCCGACCATTTTCCTCGTCGTCGTCGCCGTCTCCGTCATCGTATATGTTGCTATGAATCATTGTTGTTGTTGCTTATTCGGCTCGTGGCGCAATGCAACGCGCTCGACGCCGAGCAATTGAGGTGTCGGTGTTGATTTTGCTTGTTTTTTTGTTCCTTTTTGAGGGAAGTAGTTGAATAGGTTATAGTGTAGCATAAAAATTCCGCATAAAAGGCAAAACCATTTTCAAGAATCAACAACAAGCAATATATAATATCGTGGGCTCACTAATTTTGGTTGGATTTTTTTTCTGTTCAATATCTTGTGTTTGGTTGTTCGACGCGAACAAAATGAAGCGAAAGAGAAAGAAAGAGAGGATAAAAGAGACAAGCACGCAAGTGGAACCGATCACACCGTCAAAATCATAATTACCGACAAGCAATCCAATTGATAATAGGCAAACAAGACAAGACAAAAAGTAAATAGTTGAATGTAATCGAGAGACGAAGGGCAAAAGGCACAACGGGAAGAATAATAACAACGATAGCAACAACTGCAACATACAGCAGCAGCAGCAGCAGCAGCAGCAGCAGCAAAAAATAGAATAAATATTTACTTTCATTTGTACATTATGTACAATATATCATGTTAATCACGATGATGATGTTTGATGGACGACAGAGCTACACGACGTGAAGCACACGACGATGATGACGAAGACAGCAGCAGCAACAGCAACAATAACAAGAGCGACATCAATAACCACCCGAAACACATAACAACAACAGTAATAATAACTACGACGACGACGAAAAAATGAGTACCAATGATGTGCATGAAAACAAAGCTGAAAAGAACCGAAAATAACAGGGAAAAAAACGCGCTTTGAAAAAGAATAATAGTAAAAGCAAGAACAAGTGACGATACCACTCTCACTAAACATACTTTATTGATTACTAAAAAGATAAGAATATGCTATTTGGCATGAGGGTCACAAAGCACATTCACATTTATATACACACACCGAACCGAACCAAACGAAAGAACGAAAGAACGAACGAACGAACGACCAACAACAACATCAAATGAAAAAAAGAAGAAGAATGAAAACGAAAACGGAAGAAAGGTATTACATTCGTTCGTGTAACTTTTCCGCTATGTGTGAAATGTCTGTGTCTGTGCTTTTCAATCGCTCACTCTCGTTGTGTGTGTGTGCTTCGGTTCTTCTGTGTTTTTTTCTCTGTTTGGTGCGCGCTCCTCTCGCTCAACAACGACGACTACAACGATGGCGAGGACGAGAATGGGGTTGCGTCAAAATCATCAACTCGGATTATGTGCAATTATGAATTCCGACGATTTTGTGGTTTTTCCTCACAAGTTCATCTCAATAAAAGTCCGCATGCATGTAACAAATGGCAAAACAGCAAAGCATAGCAAATGTGTCGGTTGAAAGTGAGATGGCCGCAGGGATTCAGCGCGAGTAAGCAAAAGAGAGAAGGCGAGCAGAGTGCTTTTGAGAGAGAGAAAGAGAGAGAGAGAGAGAGAGAGAGAGAGAGAGAGAGAGAGAGAGAAGAGGAATGGGTGAGATATAGAGAGGCACACACAGAGAGAGAAAGAGAGAAGAATGGTGTAAGAAATATAAAACGATGAGCGAAACGCACTGAAAAACTACCATGGAAAATAGAAAATAATAACATGTGATACGAAAGTAATGTCTGTCTTAAGTGCACAATCGAAAAAGATATATTACATACTCATTGCCTAATGTGATATTTTGACCCTCACTATACGCTCTCTTTACCGCTCGCTCGCTCGTTCGTTTTCCTATAAGTACTATATTGTGTCTGATTCGTTGTTTGGTCATCATTTTCTTTCTTTTTTATTATCAATTCATTGCATTACGAGTGAGTTTTTGTCGATCGAACGAGCGAGCGCGCCTTCTCAGTGTCGCACGCGCTCACTTGGTTGTTTAGCAATAAGAGGAGGTGGGGATAACGCAGCAACGTTTTTCGGAGTGCTCACAAAATATGAGAGCGCACAAAATAGATGATATCTATCAACTAAACGAGAGCCGAAGAGCTTCTAATTCCATAAACGCATTCACTCATGGACGTCGTTAAAGACAATATTCGTGTCGACAATTAAACAACAACTTCAATGGCAAAACGTGTCAGTAGTCACGAAAAGTGAAACAGAACGTTCGTTGAAGAGAAGACCGAAATGAAATCGAAGAAAGACAATCAAAAGCTTTCACTTATGATGAAGGGAGGAAAAAAAGAACCGTCGAATGGAACTAGCATTAGTTTAGTTTGTCTGTGAGTATGTGTGTGTGTGTGTGTGTGTGTGTATGTGTGCAGCAACAGCTAGCAGCAGGAAACAGACACACATACACACCACAATAACAGAAGCGAACCGAAGACATGAAGCAAAAATATTAAATATCACGTCATATATATTCGGAACGGAACATAAAAAAACGTTTACCAAAACATAACATGGAATATGTACCATTGAGTTGAGTGTTGCCCTTAAACGGTTCAGGTTCTTTTTTTCTTTGTCTTTTTCTGCTACTTCTGTTTCTTCTCTATATTTACTGTCTCTCTCTCTCTTGTTCCCACTCTCGCTGGTTTTTGCTTCTTCTTTATTTTTCATTGAAAAAAAGCGACGAAAAAGAAGTTAAAAGTAACAAACAAACAAAAGCACCGAATAGACAACGAAAACATGAGGTATGATACATACCATATATTCAGGGAAAAGATAGAAAATATAATCGAAAATGAAAGGAAAGGAATGGAATGGATGAACAAAAAATGTTCTAACGAAAGTGTAACAATGTTTACGAGTAGCCATCGTGGTGAAATAAGAGCCTAACATCGAAAGCCTAGAGCCACGGTTCAGTTCCACAACAGCCAATATGAATGAATGTAATGACAATATAGACAGAAATGACACAGCAAGAACACGCAGCAAGAGCCCGAATGTTAACCTGATATACGCACACACACAGCGCGCCAAAGTATATATGGCATTCGATATTGCTTTAACCGAGTAAGCTAGCGAGCGAGCGAGCCTGCAAAGCACACCACATCCTATCGATTCTCTCTCACTCTTGTTCCTATCGAGCTTATAGTCGAGTCGATGGCTTTTGCTTGAAACGAACAACGAAAACAGAGAAAATACAACAACACACACACACACACACACACACACACACACACACCGAATAGTCATAAAATACCGTAAGCTTGATTTCAAATTTGTCATTGCCATTTGGTAAATTACATTAAAATAACCATTCTTTTTTGTTAAACAAACAAAACGTAACAACAACGTCGAATGAAAAAAAAAGTGTATCGCAATGCAACTGCGTTCTGGAATTTTCAGCTCGTAATGGGGACTTACCGAGAAATGCCGCTGTGAGAGAGCAAAAAAATTGTAATTCGGCGTTATGCGGTTGAAAACGGGGCGGAATGGTATATATTTGTGTGTGTGCGCGAAGATGCGCGCGCGCCGTAAGCCCAATTGTGTAAGACAATCGCGTTTTTCCCGAATGAACGAGAAAAAAAAGAACTAAAAGAGATTTAGTGCGAGCACGTGTGACTAGTTGCCCTGAAATATTACTCCCTTTGTTTATCGTTTTGTTTGTTGGTGTTGTGTTGTTGTATCGAGAAAAAAAAATTCTGTTTCTTTCGCTCATGTTATGTTCATTCATTGTGCCATTCCAGGTAAACCACACACGCAACACGGCAAACATCTCTCTCTCTCTCTCTCTCTCTCTCTCTCTCTCGCTCTCGCTGCTGACAACCGAAAATGGGAAGTGTAAAAGCGAAAGCGATAAATTAAAAGCGCCGACAACCAAAAGAATGCTTTTCTTTTTGTCGCTCAAGTGCTCAGCTTGCGTTTGCTTACAATTTTTTTCCCGTGGATATATTTGTTTGTACCTGTGCATGCACACACTCTCGACCTCTTGCAAAATTTTACAGCTTTGTTGTCATTTTGTCTCCGTTGGCTCTGAATTCAAAGTCGACAGCACCAACAACAACGACGACGACGACGACGTATAACGAAATTTTTGTTGCTGTTTTGACGATGTAGTGTTCATATTTTTGGACTAAATTTTACTTCGTTCGAAATACAAAACGAGGTTCAAGAAGAAAACCAAGTAACAAAAAGTCAGAGAGAAACCGAACGAAGAGAAAAAAAAGTTTGAAGTGAAAACTGTTTTTGATGTGTTCAAATTCACAAGTAAAACAAAACAGAAACAAAACCAACACCAAACGAGAGAAGAGAAGCGAACAACAAACGAAAAATTGCGATTTTCCCTTTTGGAATGGTAAACATGAAATGATTGTGAAATACCATACCTCATCAAACAAAATGTTTAACAAAAATTTCATTGAGATAGGTGCTATCAATATTGCCAGCAGTGCTGGCCCAGCA